GCCACAGCCACATCAGATCTGTCAGATCCGTTGCAGGACGTGGTGCCCCACTGGGGCGATGTGCGTGTGGGCGACCACAATCCTGCCAAGGTTGGATGCTCGACCATGGCATTGCTCATGATTCCGTGGCTGAAGTTGGTCAACCAGATTTTGGTAGGTCAATTGGATTCAAGTGGGTTACTTTTGAGACGACTGGAGGAAGATTCTATTAGAATTTATTGAAGACTATTAGTGAGACTTGTTTTAAACCGATTTTTCTCCCCGTTGGCCAGTTGGCTATCTCAAGTTAGCCATGTGGAGAGACTCAGCGGCAGATGTAGCACCAGTGGCCTGGACTTGACCAGGCCAATCGAGTGCCATGGAGTGATGTTCGGATAGGTTGAGAAGCGGCCTGAGAAGTCACGAGGCCAATTTTCCCTATCTTTAGCTTGGGTTACAGCCCAAGCTGCAGGGCTTAGAGGCCCCACCTGTCAGCAAAAAAACTACTACTGATTGGATCTAATTGGCCTTCTGGTAGGGAGCCAAGCTGGCTCAAGGATCAACGGAAGGATTCTAGCTAGTGACAACAAATTCCCTCCCTCGGGGACTGGCATCGGTAATTCAGCGCAAAATCAGCGGAGCCGCTGATGAACGTTTGTGCACGAAGCTGTTGAAACCTGGGAAGCCGAGCTAATGGTGCCCCATTTCCGGACATGTTCTCTTACTTGTACAATTCCCAGGCTTCGCATCAGCATTCTGAGCATTTTCTCACATTTTCTCTCGATGCTTGAGCCATGGGGAGCCAGTGGTGTGACGTGGACATCAAGCAACATCCAGTTTAAGCATTTCCCACGGAGCTTCCATCATGGCTTTGTAGCCCGCCGCTGTATAGGCTTTCAGCTTGCCGAGAGCGCAAGCTGCTGCGGAATGGCGTCCAAAAGTTGCTGCCCTCGGGCCCCTACATCCTGTCCAGTTGAGATATTCAAATTGATTTTTATTTGATTGATATGAAACCAATTTGGTGCTGCATGGCTTTTTTAAACGCTCTTTTCATGTTTCAGTCCTCGCCGTATGTCATGAACTGCACGTACTGAATTGTGTCAAGCTATGCTCTTAGTTTTCAGGTTCTGACAGCAATCGTCCTAGTGGCGATGCCTCCATTCAATCCTTTGCAGCACGTACCTCTCTTGCTATTGCTGAGTCTGCCGCACCTTTTGATTCAGAAACTTATCCGAGACAAATTTGGAATGTCAGAAAGCCAAACACATTTGGGGCATACAGATCATACAGATCTGCCTTCTGCCACAACAAGATCAATCATCTTCCTAGATAGTTGGCCACTTTGGTTGCCCACTCTTCCTGGTAGATGCAAGGATACCAGCATGAAGTAGAGTAGACTGTCAGTAGACCCCAATATCCTCTTATGGGGTTTGGCCAATCAGCGCCGATGGCTAGCTGGGCCTAGGAGCCTAGACGACATCTGGCTCCTGATGTTAGATTTATTTCTAATCCATTCAGCATGCATCAGCTAAAGCAAAAGCTTCTGAATTAGTTTCGTGAATGTTTTATGTTTCCAGTGTTTTTGAGAGTGCGCTCTTGACATTCAGCCGGGCCACCATTGAGGTTGCTATCACCTGCAGCCTCCTGGTGCCAGGCATTTGGGGCAGTTCTATCTGTATCGAACATGCAGGTCCCTACTTGAGTTCATTTTGCTTGAGGACAGGTCTTGGATGGTCTTGGCACCTGCACTTGGTCGACAGAAGTAGGATGTGGTCGATAGAGATTCTTTTGAGAAGCTATTTCCTCTGAAATCTCTGAAAGGCGCCCATTTCGCATCTCATGCCGCAAAGGGAGTTGAGTATGCTTAGAGCAAACGCTGTAGAGACCATGTTCCACAAGAGTGACATCGACCAGGGCATGCCGCTGATCTCGCCTGCACCTCAAGTTGGTGGCCCAGAGTTGGGCGCGGCACTTTCTCACCATGGATCTAATGGCTTCGAAGCTGAGAACAGTTAGAACTGTCCACGAAGTGCCCATGGTTTTGTCAAATCGCAGTGGGTAGAACAAGCACGTGGAATCGTTGTCTGGTCCAATATGTGCAATCGAAAATCTGTGTGCAGGCTTTGAGACTTCTGCGAATTGGATCTAGAATTCAAGGACCAAGGGATGCTGTTGCCCTTTGATTTTGCACCAACTTTGCACCACGGCTTAGGTATAAACCTGGCTTGCGCACGGCGCGGCAGAGAGGATATGAAGGCGAGACATGGAAGGTGAGATTCTGACAGAAACGGTCATCAAAGGAAGTTGGGAAGCAATACTTCCGTGTTACGAATGTCTTTTACTATGATGAAGGGTGGTGTGTGATCTAACAAAGCTATGGTTTTGACTATGATGAAGGGTGGTGCGTGATCTAACAATATATAACATATAACTAACAATGCATAACATAACAATACATAACAAAAGAATAAGAAGTTATGGAATGGACTATGATGAAGGGTGGTGCGTGATCTGACAATACATAACAAAAGAATAAGAAGCTATGGAGTTGAGTATCATGAAGGGTGGTACGTGATCTAACAAAACACGTGAATGTTGCATGGGCTATGTTGCGGGGAGGAAGCCAGAGCACGAAACCTTGTGTTTTTCCGTGTAAAGTGGCTGCAGCCGGCGATGACAGGTACCTCGTGTGTGCGACGGGTGCGGCTGCGGTCGTTTCATGCGCGAATTGGTTCCTCCTCTGCGTTCTGCAACGAGTGGTTGTTCCTGTGTGCGTCGTTCTATGCGTTTCTTGAACCTGGTTGCAGATCGCATTGGAATGGCTGCATGATTGTTGTCACCTGGTGTTGCCATCTGCGTAGAGAGATGCGGGATAGCGACGTGATGCTGCGAAACGCATTGTAATGGCTGCGTCAAAGTTGCCTGGTACCGCGGCTGCATGCGTAATACCATTGTCTTTTGCAGCTGAAGATCGTAAATCGTATCGGAGTGGCTGCATCCAGGCTGCGACAGTGATTTGTCAGCAGATTTTCGCAATTTTGATAATTTTGGTGCCAGTAATTTTCCTTTAAAAAATCCTTTTTACAAGTGCTTCAAAATCGTCTTTTTTCTGCTTTGGCGTCGAGATCCGGTTTTGGAGCTGCAAGTTTCGACGCCGTTGCGCGTAGTTCTATTGTGTTTTGCAACGCGGTTTCTGCAGATCGCATTGTAATGGCTGCGTCAAGGTTGCTTGGTGCCGCGGCTGCATGCGTAATACTATTGTCTTTTGCAGCTGAAGATCGTAAATCGTATATTGGAGTGGCTGCATCCAGGCTGCGACAGTGATTTGTCAGCAGATTTTCGCACTTTTGGTGCTAGTTGGTGCGAAACGCATTGTAATGGCTGCGTCAAGGTTGCTTGGTACCGCGGCTGCATGCGTAATACCATTGTCTTTTGCAGCTGAAGATCGTAAATCGTATTGGAGTGGCTGCATCCAGTCTGCGACAGTGATTTGCTAGCAGATTTTCGCAATTTGGTGCTAGTAATTTTCCTTTAAAAAATCATTTTTCAAGTTTACAAGTGCTTCAAAATCGTCTTTTTTCTGCTTTGGCGTCGAGATCCGGTTTTGGAGCTGCAAGTTTCGACGCCGTTGCGCGTAGTTCTATTGTGTTTTGCAACGCAGTTTCTGCAGATCGCATTGTAATGGCTGCGTCAAGGTTGCTTGGTGCCGCGGCTGCATGCGCAATACTAGTGTCTTTTGCAGCTCAAGATCGTAAATCGTATTGGAGTGGCTGCATCCAGGCTGCGACAGTGATTTGTCAATGATTGCTGCTACAGGGTTTTCCATGGTCTCCTTGATTGCTTGTCTATGGTTACCTCACACATGTGTTGTCCTCTTGTTGGAATATGTAGCAGTTGATTGGCCATTGTGTATGACCGTTGCAGCTTTTGGTACAAGAATGAACGCAGCTATACTCACTGCACGAGAGCACCAGTGCGGGTCGCTCGGATCGCATCGATCATGCAACACGAGAAACAGAGCAGCTGATGAAAGCACATCGTCATATCTGTAGCAAGTGTTTAAAAATCTCTTTCCTTTAGCACATGCTGAAAAAAATCAATATCTATATCAACCCTGGCAATATCTGTGCCCATCGAGCGAACCAGTGCGGGTTGCTCGCATCCGGTGGTTCACGCGCCAGTGCGGGCCGTGATACGGTGTGAAGTGTGGGGCGTCAAGAGTGCAGTGTGAAGTGTGGAGTGTGAAGTGTGAAATGTGGAGTGTGAAGAAAGCAGTGAGAAGTGAGAAGTGTGAAGTGTGGACTGTGAAGTGTGAAGTGTGGACTGTGAAGTGTGAAGTGTGGAGTGGGAAGAGTGCAGTGTGAAGTGTGAAGTGTGGAGTGTGAAGAGTGCAGTGTGAAGGGCGAAGTGGAGCTTCAAATGTGACATGTGAAACAGGACGCCACTGTCGCAGATTGCACGCACCCACGGGCTTGGCTGGCGCACGGCGCATGCAAGTTCTATAGATGAGAAAGCTCTTATATATATATATATCTTTAAGGCAACTTCCGCCCCGCCTCGTGCGGGTGCTACTGGTAAACTGATATGGAACACAGTCACCCTGGATTCATTTGACTATTTTGATGTTGGGGATTGTTGATATGGAGATTTCCTGTGCCCTCAAATCACCCAAAAAACATGGACTTTCCAGTACAAACCCTGCATTTGGGGGTACCCCCATTTTAGGACACACCCATGGCCAATTGGCAGGCAGAGTGCCTAACTGGCAACTTCACTGCGCAAGAAGGCCGTGGGAATTGCTGGGATGGACAGGTGACCGGATCCTCGGTGTAAAGGGTTGGTTCTATGACCCAGTGATACACGGTGATTCATCGGCAAAAAGGAGTGTTGGATTTTCTTGGGATGTCTTGGGACACTTGGGAAGAACTGGAGTATACTTGAATCTTTGAGTATCTCGGGTCTAAGCGCACCATGGCCATGTCAAGAAAAGCTGTCCTGGTCGAAGTTAATTATTCTGTGGCCACCTGCCTCAGGTCGTTTGACTTACGCCAGTGGCTTTGAAGAAGGCTATCTAGCTGGAAAGGTGGGCAGTTGTTTTGCCCCATGGCTCCCATTAGGGAAGTATTGTGTGGGTTTAGCGGATGTGTTTTTGACTTTGGGTGCCGGGCATGGCAAATATCAGCATATAGGGGAGGCCACACTGTGGCGCAACTGGTGGCTTGACAGGAGGCAGCGCGTTCCAAGAAACTCACGTGGAGTCAGTATGCTGTTTCCATTGTCAGGGGCCTAGAATTTTACGCTGCCAGCTGAAAGTCGAATTTCAGCTTTGGCATCAATTTTAAGCACAGGTGCTTTATTTGTCACTCTCTTCAAAGCATTGGAGGTTGTCGACCTGGTCCTTCTTTGGATTGTATTGGTGAGCTTTGCGCGACTGGAGCGCATGTTCTATGCGCCCAAACAGGTGGGAGGTGTGGTCCGGAGGGCAGATGTGACGATTCATTTGAGTCATTTTCAGCACCAGCAGATCAGCCATCCCATTTTTGGGGTTTTAAACAACCATAATCATACCATTATTATCATCAACTATCCATTATGAAACCCACTTTAGACCATTATCCATCAACTATTAACCATATTAACTAACCATATTAGCCATCCATTGACCCAAACATGTGCCCCAGACCCCATGGTGAAAGTGTTTAACCCCCAGCCCTGTGGCAGCCAGGAGAAGGTGATTTGGGGCCATGGAGCCGCCACCATGAACTTTTCCGGGGCGGAGCCTGGTTTGTTGCAGAAAGCCTGGGAGAAACTCTTTCCAAGTGCGGAGGCCTACAGGATTTTAATGGATTAGGGAGAGAAGAAGTAAGCAAGCTTTGGATGAAAATAGATACTGGATGATATTGGTATTATAGATAGATGGATAGATGGATGGATAGATGATCGATGGATGGATAGACAGATAGATAGATGGATCGATGGATCGATGGATGGATAGATGAATAGATGGATGATGGATAATAGGTGGATAGATGGATAGGTGGACAGATGGATAGATAAATAGATGGATAGATTAGATGGATAGATGGACAGATACATAGATGGATAGATAGATCGATAGTGATAGATGGATGGATGGATGGATGGATAGATAGATAGATCGATAGATCGATCGATAGATAGATAGATGGATAGTGATAGATGGATGGATGGACGGATAGATAGATAGATCGATAGGTCGATAGATCGATATAGGTCGATAGATCGATATAGATCGATAGATCGATAGATCGATCGATCGATAGGTAGATACGGACAATGTTCCATAGCTCCTATATAGATTAGATGAAAGTATGAGATGGTTTTCACGGGCATTGGATGATATTCAGGACCTTAAGGTTGGTTGATCCCACACCCAAGATGTAACGTATAACATAAGTAGTAGAACTGGGGAGATATCACGAACCATACAAATGGTGACTTCAGTGAATGTTGCAGGAAGTACAGTAATTGCTTGGAAAATCCGCCACCCACACGTATTCATGCGATAATTGTATGCACCCCAGGCTGTGTTACACGATACCAGTGGATTGTGAATTTTGTCCAAGGTCGATCTGGCGCCTTTGTACCGCGCAATGTGTCCAAAACTGAGACAGAAACAACTCGTCACTCTGGATGTTGCTGGAAAAAACAAGAGGACAACCAGGAGATGAAAGCAGATGATCAATCTTTTTCACGCGCCAAGGAGCGAGGCGTATGAAGCTGCCAGGCAGCATCAACGGCAGACCAGCTAAGAATGAGTTGAGGTATAGTACCCATTCAACCCATATCTGCAACTTTGGCTGGGACAAACATGATGCTATCAATTGAGTGCTGGATACTGGATGCTGAAGTCCTTGTTTCACTCATGGTTCGGAGAAAAAAGAGGGGTCATGAAAATGGATGAAAATGGTACAAAGGAGGGGCGTTAGCAGGGATGCAAGTGCCTAAGTTATGTATAATGCGGTGCCAAACCATTTTCAATCAGCTTGAATTAGGTGCGACTTGCAACACCCTTTTCCAAAATGGTTTGCTCTGGCCTTCCGTGTTTCTTGAATCTCCCTTTTTAAAGCATTCATGCTAGGGAATATGATTCGGGTCAAAACGCTCTACACAGCACAAATGCATTGTTGCATTTAGTCAATTCTTTGGCAACATTCTTGTTGCCGAAATCGTCGTGAATTCTTGAACCAGTGAGTGGCGAGTAAATGAGCTAGAAAGCGTTGTATCATGTCATACCCATGCACAATTTCACACACCATTTGCCGAGCCTTTGGCTCCACATGCCTAGCTCAATGAAAGGCTGAAAAGATGCCTTGCACATGCAACAGGGCGTCATGTGAGTAGGTGCACTGCCTGAACTGTAGCAGCTGCATTCCGCAATGCGCCTTAGGCCAATCACACCACCCTCATCACATATTCCAGAGCTGTGTTGATCGCTCCAACAGTAGCAGAACCAAATTTGAATCTGTTGTGTTTGATGTGGAACTAGTGATGCGGTGTGAGCCCTTGAGCTCTTGTCGCAACCGCTGCTACCGGCGCTTACGCGGAGCTTTGCTGATTACTTTGCTGTTTGGTTCTCAGCTGTTGATTTGAATCACGGAAAATAGATGAACATGGAGGACTACAGTAGCACAACATCATTCCCGTTGTCCTTTGGATGTTGCATGTCAGTAGCGAGAAGAGACGAATGATTTTAAAGTTCATGGAGTCTTATGAGTCTTCCCGTGCTCCCCTGAACTCCAGCGTGTTCCCTCGCAATTGAAGTGAGGGAAGCAGATGGAGAAGACCAATTTGGACAATGATTGATTGGGGGCTTTCAGTTGTTTGAATTGGCAAGCGGACCACTCAGGTACAGTGGACACCTTGCATTGAGTTTTAATTCTGGGTTGCCTCAAGTTCAGCAAGGGAAACCTCTGCTGGAACCTCGGTGCCTTGGCTGCTGTTCCGGAGTCTGGAGGGTGCAGTCCTGTTGAAAAAGAACGCCCTCAAAATGTCCGATTTGCCAACCTTCCTGACAAAAAACAAGCAAGAGAAACATCAAAATGTGCGATGTATTTTTTTGGTCTGAGTCTGTCTCAATTGGGCGCTCCTAGCAATACCATAAATCCTTGCATCCCGCGTTCCTTTGGCTCTTCTTGGCAGAGTTTGATTGGTTGCAGCTTTCACCTGGAGAGTCTTGTGGCCAAGAAAGGGGGACCCGTGTATGCCCGTGTCTTGTTAAGCACGCATCACAGCGCTTGCCTTCTGTTTTTCTTCCCCAATTTGTGGACTAGGCAGTATCAGCAGGAGGCTGTGGATTTCTTCTTCAAGAATGCCAAGAAGGCAGTTGCTCTGGTATGATGGTCCTCAGGGCTTGGGAAAAAGACTGGGTCGTACAATGCCTGCCAATGATTTCTGGAGTCAGATGGCATAGTTCAACATGATCTAACGTTGAAAGTAGGTCCAGGTGTTTACCAGTTTACTACTCAACTAAAACAAACAAATTTGGTGAGTGGATTTAATATATGATGTACGTTGATAGTTCATAAATATAATATGATATGATGCGTATGCATTTGTTACATACGCACACACACACACGCATAGACAGACACACGTGCACACACACACACACGTGCATATGCATAAATAAACAAATAGATAAATAAATAAAAAATATATGTATATATGTGTATATATATATATGTATATATGTATATATATATGTGTATATATATGTGTGTATGTATATATATATATGTATATAAATATATTTACACACTAAAGGTCCGCGTAAAGTTTGTCCATTACACAGGCCGCCAGGGTTCCAACATGAGACCCCCGCGAAAGTGTTTTTCTGAGTTCGAGAGTATTTTTTTCCGGGCGAAAGATTTAACGAAATATTTTAACATGAGACCCGCGCGAAAGATAAACGTGGGGTTCGCGAAAGCATTTTTTTTATTCGCGAAGAATGGCCGCGTGCAGCTACAGGAATTTAGATCAACCGCTATATATATATATATGCATATATATATATGCATACATACATACATGCATGCATGCATACATACATACATACATACATACGGGTACATACGGGTACATACGGGTACATACGGGTACATACGGGTACATACGGGTACATACGGGTACATACGGGTACATACGGGTACATGCGGGTATATACGGGTACATACGGGTACATACGGGTACATACGGGTACATACGGGTACATGCGGGTACATACGGGTACATACGGGTACATACGGGTACATACGGGTACATACGGGTACATACGGGTACATACGGGTACATACGGGTACATACGGGTACATACGTTATAAGACGTACTCGGGTTCGGCAAACTGGGTAGTAGTTTCCGCCATTCACGCAGCGTTGAAGTTCCGGAATATAATCTTGCTGTGAAGCAATCTGCAGAAGGATCAGCAAGGGCAAAATGCATTTTTTTGTTGAAGGGTTAATTGTAGAACGGAGGTAAGGCGTGGCCATGCAATGGTTTTTGGTGGGATTTTGGGGCCATCAGATGGTCGGTTGTCTCGACCCTTTAGGCAGCTAAAGGGCAAGGCTTGCGCTTTCAGATGGCCTGTGGAACTGGAAAGACCGTCACCTATGCGCTGATTATTTATCGAACCTCGGGAAGTGGAGAGATGGGCAGATGTTAGATGGATATTTGCGGGATGTTTGGTGTAGGTTTGATGGATGTTTGGGGTAGGGTGCACAACCCAGTTGTCTACAATATCAATGTAGCTATGGCAAGTGGAGTGTCGGATTCGTGCTTTGAGCTGCCGTGTAGCGGAAAGTGTGTAGGGGATATAGGGAGCGTATGGGAGCGTAATAAAGACAATGCAAGTCATCACTTTGATGACTTCTTTTGACCGTTTCAATCCCAGCCAAAAGCTACACATGACTTCTCTTCACCGCTGGTGGCCAGAGCCCGCCGTGAATCTCAGGAGATCTGGCTAAGCTCCTCAGCCGGCACTGT